GCAGAGTAGAGGGGCAAGAGAACCTCCCTTAACCTGCTGGCCACAACTATTCTTAATGTACCCAGGACACCATCGGCCTTCTTGGTCATGAGGGCACATTGCTGCTGGCCCATGAGGAACTTGTCCCCCAGCACTCCCAGGTCCTTCTCCCATGGAGCTGCTCCCCAGCAGGTCAACCCCTCACCTGTCCTGGTCCACAGGGTTATTCCTCCCCAGGTGCAGGACTCTACACTTGCCCTGGTGGAACCTCATGAGCTTTACCCAGGACACCATCGGCCTTCTTGGTCATGAGGGCACATTGCTGCTGGCCCATGAGGAACTTGTCCCCCAGCACTCCCAGGTCCTTCTCCCATGGAGCTGCTCCCCAGCAGGTCAACCCCTCACCTGTCCTGGTCCACAGGGTTATTCCTCCCCAGGTGCAGGACTCTACACTTGCCCTGGTGGAACCTCATGAGCTTCCCCTCCACCCAACTCTGCAGCTTCCCCAGGTCTCTCTGAATAGCAGCGAGACAGGAGGGGAGGGGACGCAGTCAGAGGGGACACAGCCCCCGTGGTGGGGGCTGGGGGCTGCTGGAGGGGTCCCTGCCGGCTGGCGCCGGGGCCTCACCCCCGGGCTCTCGGCCTCGGCCTCGCTGCTCTCCCTGGCCTGGATGATCGCCTCCTACCAGAAGGTGCTGCGGGACTCGCGGGAGGACAAGATGCCCATGTCCTACAAGGGGGCCGTGGTGCAGATCCTGTGGCACCTCTTCACCATCGCCGCCCGCGCCATCGCCTTCGCCCTCTTCGCCTCCGTGTTCCAGCTCTACTTCGGCATCTTCATCGTCACCCACTGGTGCATCATGACCTTCTGGATCATCCAGGGCGAGACGGACTTCTGCATGTCCAAGTGGGAGGAGATCATCTACAACATGGTGGTGGGCATCATCTACATCTTCTGCTGGTTCAACGTCAAGGAGGGCCGGAGCCGGTACCGCATGTGCATCTACTACGTCATCACGCTGTCGGAGAACGCCGCCCTCACCATCCTCTGGTTCCTCTACTACGACCGCGAGACCACCTCCGACTTCGACGCCTTAATCCTCGTCTGCGTGGTCAGCTCCAGCTTCGCCCTCGGCATCTTCTTCATGTTCATCTACTACTGCCTCTTGCACCCCAACGGCCCCATGTTCAACCCCCGCGCCGGGGGCTGCA